GTGTTGTTATAATTAAAGTTGTTTGTTTAGCTCATAATTATTATTATTATTATTTTTACTTATTTCCTAGCTCTTGTTTCATCTTAGTTGTGTTGTAAGCTAATCGGTAGTGGTTAGTTGAGCCACCTACATATTTCTTGTTTGTTCCTTCTCTTGATTTTGCAACCAGACAGGTTTTGCTCGGCCTAGTTGGCCGCCCGGCCTATTTGGCTGGTCGGTTAGCTTCTCTTGGACAAGATGGCATAATCTCCCAATATTGACCAATCTCCGTCGACGATTCCAAGGAACATGAAGCTTTTATTTATTTTTATTTTTTTTTTTGAGTGTTTTGTGAGGTTATGTTTTATTCTATTGTAAAATTCCCTCATTTCTCTCTCATTTGGATTGTAATAATTTATTCAAAGTGTTGTAATAATTTCCCACCCCACTTCTTTCTATCATGTTCTTTCACTTGCTTTCCTTATTTGTAGATGTGCATTATGTTTATTTTATTTTATTTTTTTTCGTTATATCCATGCTTTGCATTCATGTTTCATGCATCTTGATTCGGCTAAGTTTGCATTTGTGGATTTAATCAATTCCTATGTGATTATGTGCGCTACCTCATGTTCTTGAGATTCACATGTCCAATCTTAGAAGTCGAATCATTAGTTGCATCTCATGAGTGAATTGCATTAGGATTTTGTACATAAGATCATGCATGTTTTACTAACTTTGTTTTGTAGCCGTTCGCGGGACGTCGGTAAATATGTAAGTTTTGATGCTTTAGCATCTTGTTTGTGTGTATTTTTCTTATTATGTTTAAGCATCCTACCATGTGGCTACTGGCTTACTTGATATAACTGTATGAATGGCAGTGGATGGAGGTTGTATCGCTTAATTTGGAATAATGTTGATTTTTCATGTTTGTAAACTCAATTTATTTGGGTTGTACATCTTCAAAACTCTTTCAAAATATATGAAATCAAATTATTTTAAAATAAATGACATAGTCTATACTTGTGTGCTTCACATAGTAATTTTTAAGATTTATTAAATAATCAAAATATGAACATATAAAGTAAAGAAAATTCATATCATGGTTTAGTAAAGGCCGATCTTTTAATTGGGTGAGCAGGGGTGCTCAATTAATGACCTTCCCCTCTCATATCTAAGGTTTCGAACAGAGACAACTTTGGTTATGACGAATAGTGGCCTTGGCACGAGTCATGGGTTTCCTAATTTCCCAAAATATTAGGTGGCGACTCTAAGATCTGATGACGCAGTCCATTTCTGGAAAATAATTTTGTAATAAAATGGATTTTCTATAAAGTTACCAAATTTGGACTTTCATTTATGTTTCACATTGCATTCGTGAAATTAGATCGAAGAAATCGAGGGTCCGAACTGTTTAATGCACCCGAGTACCCCCTGGGCATGTTACACTCAGTCATCAATCTTTAGTTTATTTCGAATCAAACAAATCAATCAATTTTTGATAAAACCACTAAAGTCGTGCTTAAACCAACAAATCAATCAAATCAAAAATGATTTAGCTTAATTGACTAGGTCATAATTAATTAATTAAAATTTTAAAATTTAAAATATATTGAATTGAAATATACACAACACTATAATATTAAATAGGATGAGAGTATATGATTCAATTTATATGAGTAAAATAACTCATTTTTCCTTCTTTTTTCCATGTGGATTATCAAATAAAAGCTAACCAATAGAGATTTTCTTAATAGTCTAAGATTAAGAAAATCAAGAAAATTAGTATGAGATATTGAAACTCTCACAAGGCTCCTCACTAAATGGGATAGGAGTATATAAGATTCCCTTTATATGAGTAAAATAACTCATTTTTCCCCCTTTTTCCTATGTGAGATTATCAAATAAAAACTAACCAATGAAGATTTTCTTAATTATTTAAAATTAAGAAAATCAAAAAAATTAGTGTAAGATATTGAAGCTCTTACAAGATTCCTCACTAAAAATACCATTTTCCTTATATAATAGATAAGCTTGCACAAGAGATCATTTTTTTCCATTGCAGTCTAGTTGCATATCTCAAAATATATTTCAAAACAAAAAAAAAATTTGACCACGAAAATTTATTTCAAATTTATATGTGGATGTAGATTTAAAATTTGCAGAATATGGGCTATATATACAACGAATGTAGAACATTTATTACTTTTTTTAGATAATTTTATGAATATTTTTTTTCTAGAGTTTTTAGTATTGCTATTTCAAAATTTCACAACATTGCGATATTGAGCGGACATTGATGGAATGCATTTCTAGGAACAAAAAAAGTTTCCTTAAACTTTTATTTATCTATTTAAGGAGAGTAATTACATTATTATAAAAAATATTTATATCATCAAATAGATAATAGCTAGAAAGTTAACAAATCTAACAACCAATCTATCAAGCCAAGCATAATAACCTACTACAAATTACATACAATTCTTATACTGGGTATAAACCATCTACCATAATGAGTATCAAACTCTCATCCATAAGAGTTGAACTTGAGATCTCACACCACAAAAGGTACTATACAACCATTACACTAAATGTCCTGGTTCAACTAAAGTAGAAATCCATGATTAAGAATCTTGAGCTTCTTGTAATGCAAGTGGTTTCATAAATTGGAATAGATTTATTGATTATTAAAAATAACCATCTTTGGTGTTTAGGCACATCCCATTTGAAAATACAATGCCTTTTTTTGAGAAAGACTAAGTAGTTGTTTGATATGTGCTATATAAGTGTACTTGTTGACTTTTTGGTTGAAAATCTAGAAATCCCCTAGATGTTGATTTGTGATTATGTATCAATTTTAAGCAGAATATAACAATCCCAATCAAACAATCAAGACAAAAAAATACAACGATTTAACGTGGAAAAAACCACAATTGGACACCTCCAACTGTGATCAAAAAACCACGGGCAACAGCCACAAGAACAATCCACTAAGAAGATTTAAAGGAATTATACAAGTATACTCTCAATTACCTAGCGAATCCACCACGCCTAATTGAACCAACCTCTATGTGCCTCTTCCAACCCCATCTTCACCTCGGAATTGTCTTTACGATGAGCCACCCCGGAATCCACCAAAGCTTCAGGCTCGAATTCTTCAGAATCCACCGAAGAACAACTCTCTTTTTTATAGCAAACAAAAACCTTTGATGTACTCTCTTTAAATCATGAGTTGAATACTCAAAAAAACATCAAAGAAAACTCACAAAGTATCCCCAGATATAAACCCTAGAATACAAAAAGAAGATCTAGAGTAGTAATCCTAAAATCTGACCCAACACGCGAATTTATAGAATCTGTCCCGCGATCTCCGCTCGAGCGCCCAACAACCCGCTCGAGCGTCTTCAGCAAAATATGCGCGTGATATAACAGAGGTCCGCTCGTGCGCCAGAAAGCTCGCTCGAGCGCAAAATCACATATCTCAGTACTTTTGCAGGCGACCAAAATTGCTGGAACCAGGGATTCTCCGCTCGAGCGCGGGTATGTCCGCTCGAGCGGACAGGCAATTTTGAATGCATTTTTGCATTTTGCTTCGGGTGCGAGCTGACCGGGCAGCTGCAATCTTGAACGCTTTATCATCACAAACTTCTCTGAAAAGCACAATTCGGGTTGGATTCGCATCTAAACACTCATAGCCTCACTGAAATAAAAAAGTGCGAATAAAATTACAACTCAAAGGAGTTTTGTCAAACGGGATTGCCAAGAAATAAAACCTAACATTGGTACTATAAGAGTTGAACTTGAGATCTCACACCACAAAAGGTACTATACAACCATTACACTAAATGTCCTGGTTCAACTAAAGTAGAAATCCATGATTAGGAATCTTGAGCTTCTTGTAATGCAAGTGGTTTCACAAATTGGAATAGATTTATTGATTATTAAAAATAACCATCTTTGGTGTTTAAGCACATCCCATTTGAAATACAATGCCTTTTTGAGAAAGATTGTTGTTTGATATGTGCTATGTAAGTGTGCTTGTTGACTTTTTGGTTAAAAAAGTAGAGGAAAAAAATGTATGTTTGGGATAACTTTTTGACTTTTTACGAAAAGATGTGCAATAAATATTGTAGTAAAATCAAAATGACCATTTTTCCTTTTGACTTTTTGGGTAATTGAATTCAAATGGAAAAATAATAATTTTCCCTTAGTGGCTTCCCCCACAAGCTGCCCTTGAATAGTATAGACTTTTTTTTTTTTAATCTTTTTTAATAACTTTTTGACTTTTTTAATTTATCCCAAATAAAACCTAAATGTCCTTTTTTGAGAAAGACTATAAATTTTCTTAAGGGAAACTCATTATACGTGACCAAGGCTAATAATTACAATTCTTTGAATACCATTTTCTAAAAATTAGTCGCAAACTATTTACAACCGCCTAATCTACTTATGGTGACTAATGGTTTGTCGTCGGAAAAAAAAAAATTAAAAATGCCCACAATGTTTTAGCAACCTATATATATATATATATATTCAAATATTATATACAATAAATGTAAAATGATATTTGCAAAAATTCTACTGCTCCTGTATTATTTTCTATCACTTCCCTCAACAAAGTTATCTTTCTTCAAAAAAAAAAAAAGAAATATGCATACAAAATACAAACTTCTATACATGCAAAACAAATATCCATCAACCATCCTTACAAGTATTTATACAAAATACTTATAGATTCAAGTATTCAAAAAAAATAAATAAATAAATAAATTCTCAATTTAGCTCTCAATATCACCCACTCAATAATATCAACTACTCCCTCAACACTATTTGCAAAAATATACATCAATATATTAGACATCATTAGAAACAAAGCCATATTTAGACCAGGCCAATTATGACATAACAAAACAAAACAAACATAACATAATTACAGAGGTAAAACAAACAGGTAGATATACAACATAAGCATGCCAAAAATGCTAACAAAAAGTTATAGTCAATGCCAATCACAAAACCTGCAATAAACACAATAAAAATGAACAATTTGACTTTCAAATAGCATAAACATTTGTTGGGTTTTTTTTTTTTGCTATGTGACAAGAAATGCTAAGAGGGGGCAACCATTACGTGGCAGCTCTCGTGTGGGCTGAGTTGTGACCATAGGAATCCCTACCCACTCGAGTGCCGGACAAAAGGGATCTTAATGGACCCACTCTCAAGATGGACAACCCCACTGAGAACATAGTGATAAGGAGGCATTGGCCAAGTTTAATAGGGATTAGTCTCAGCCGAGCATCACCCCAGAGACTCACCAAATTACATTGGATTGGAGTAAGCCCGTAATCACCGGGCTACATCCCTCGGATAGTAATTGTTGAGACATTCACAATCAAACATAACCAACTACTCATGTGAAGTCAAAAGATGCTAAGAATGAAGCACAACTGTACCATCTTGTAGTGATCGGGTTTATCAGTTTTCTTAGTGAAACTTGGGATGAATCCCCACTTCATGCACTAAAGAACCGCACCATCACCACCAAAACCATCTTCTCTTCGAACCACAGTCAAATCCCTTCCGAGAGAAACATTATAGGATGGTTGGTACCTGAAATTCAACCCAGCTTCATTGTTCAATAATTCTAATTCACAAAGTCTAGTCCAATTTATACATTCTAATATATATAACAATAAAATAAAATAAAAAATTTTACATTCTCAAAATCAGACTTACCTCTGAAATTGCTCAGTATTGATTAACTTCAAAGCGAGCTGCAATCCAGAGATAGTGATTTTGAGTTTTTATTTAATTATAATTGTTTGAATAGCCTAAAAGGAGTTTAGATGGATCAATAACAAATATAAATTAGACATCTATAACTCTATAAAAATTTGAGAAAATGAAAAAAAAAAAAGCTTAAAATAAGGAAAGAAATTTTCAAAAAAAAAATTCTTTAAAAAAAATAAAAAATAGAGGACAAGAAGATAAACTGATTTGTAACAAAAATAAAAGTGAATGTGTCTACCTCTAAAACTCTTCTGGTCCTTAAAACCCCTTTGAGTTATTCAACCATGTCATTAAACTTATTTGAAACAAAAAATGAATGTTCAGCGTCATAAGAGGCTGATAATACTGCCTTAATCAATGAAGGAGTGAAGCTTTGGAATCAGAGGATCTAAAATAAGTGGTTAAAAGTTAATGTGTCGAATGTAACTTCAATAAAAGTAAAAATACAAATTGGGGAGTAGTGAAGCATAAAAGCTAATATATGCCTAAAGAGCAAACAATTTCACCAGATGGCCTGATCAAATTAGAAGATAACTCTGCCAAAACCACATTAACTTATGACTTTATCATAGAAAATCTAATATCCAAAATGAGAGTTATAATAATAATAAAAAAAAAGAATGAGTTAATACCAAACCTCATACTTCAAGAATCCTTCAAGAACATCCAAAAGCAAAGGGGCACTATCTCTGTTCTTGTTAAGATCATATCCATTGTTGCTACTAAATTCTTTTAACTCAGCTTTCCAGGAATCCTTTTGTTGCAATTGAAGTTAAAATTAATACAAATCCATTGCAAGAAAAATTAGAAGGAAACTAAAACACATATAAGAATTATTGTAATAAAATTGGCAACATATTGGACAGTACATGATTCCCAAATTACACTCTGGCAGATAAACTTTTTGTGTGTGGCCCAGTTGTGCCTTGTCCAAGTATTCACATATCAGTGCAGTTAGCAGCTTTCCTGCATATAGCGATCCCGGGTTTACCCTTGTTGTACAGTGATCCGGACATGTGTCCGTGGATGTTGGTAGTTGTTTATTATCTTGTTTGCATCCTTTTAAAACTAATCTAATTATGCTAATTAGACTATCTATTACAACACAATTGAAACGAATTAACTAACTTATTCTAAGCTAATTAAATATTACAAATCGAAGTAACCAGCTAAATACTAAGCTAATTAAGTACAAAGCAATTAAACTAATTAATTAGGTACCACTAATTAACTAAACAAAGAAATTAAATGGCCTCGGGAATTGAGGGATGCATGCATGCTTGGTTCCTCTACCTGAAAAAGCCACCGCCTTACCACTGAACGCCTCTGTTTGCACATTTAAACACCAATAGTGCCGCTAACTCCTAGAATGCCTCTGCTCCACCTTACCAACACACTGTGCAATTTTCATTGGTGGCCGACAGGGGGCATGTCGGCTACCAATGGTGGCCGGTGGAGTGAATTACGCTCGAGCGGTCTGGGTTTTTCTTCGCTCGATCGAGAACTTCTTGGCTCGAGCGGGAGTTTTCTGTGTCTGGTCGCTCGAGCGACAAAGGCTTCGCTCGAGCGAGCGTGTTTTATATCAGCGGACAGTAGCGTTTTTGAACATCAGTTTTTCACTTTCTTTTTCTTTCGAACCCTAGATCCGAGACTCTCTCTCTCTAAACTTACACTCTCTCTAAGATTTGATCTCCCTAGAGTGTGAATCTAGCCTAGGGCCTTTGTTAAAAAGATAGAGGGCGTTGAGAGCTTCGACTTAATCTGAAAAAGTTTGGATTTGGAGCACGTTGATCTTGGAGTCTTCATCTCCTTTTTGGCTCAAACTTCGAGGTAGGGATATCCTACTCCTCTCTATGGGTTTTGTCTTTAAATTTTAGTATTTTGAGATGATGGGGTTGGTTTGGTAATTTGGTAAAAGTTTGGGGCTTTTGTGCAATTATACAAAAGTTGGGG